TTCTTTTTTTTTTTTTTTTTTCCACACACGTTTCTATTTTTTCACAACTTCTCCTGCTGATGGGCCGATGCTGGCCCCTCCTGCCACCCTGCTTGCTTCAAAAGGCAGCAGGTTTCCAGGCATGACAGTGCGGGCTCCGACTATTTGCAAAACATTTTCTCTTCCCCGGGAGCTCGGATCCACCGTTCTGAGACCTGGGAGGAAAAAAAAACCCTAAAGCTGCCAGTCTTGGAGAGAGTGTTTTGCAAAGCTCCGGCTGGAGACTGACCCGCTTTGAGGATTTGATCCTATTTCTCCCTTAATCTTTTAATTGTGGCGTTTGCTCTGCGTGGGCTCCCGAGGTGGCAGCGCCTGTGCTGTGCTTTGCTCTTGAGCGTGAGTGATGATTTTGTTTTCTTCCTTATTTTTCCTTTTTTTTTTTTTGTCTCAGCTGTGCCTCTCACCGGGATGCCTGGCCTGCCCTACCTTCTCCCATCCTGCCCCTGTTGAGGCAGCCGACACAGAGCATCTTGCTCCTCTTGTCGTGTGTTTCTGAAAACTAAATAGCTGTGATTTAACTCAAAGTAGCCAAAATCGAGGAAAATAACCTCAGAGCCAAAACCTCTGAGGGTAGCACGTAGGATGTGGCTGCAGGTGCTGGTCCAGAGACTGGCCCCGGCGCTGGGACTGGGCGAGTCAAGGGCCGTGGCAGGATTTGGGCATCGTACAAGGGCTCTGGAGTTCCAACTTTTAGGAAAACCAAAGTGTCTTTCAGGGCACCAGAAGGAGCTTCCCCAGCTGGAAACAGGCGTCAGGGTCAGGTCTCTGTTAAGCTGGCAGCGTTTGGTTTAAAATGGCATGTTTTGGCTCTCTGTAAGTCAATTAGGAAGGAGCTTATGCAAAGCCGAATTAAACTACTCTTTTAGACAGCAATAAGCCAGCGCTGGCCTGGCTCCTTCGAGCGGGATGGAGCCGGGCTCCTGCCGCGGGTGCAGGGCTGGCATGTCCCCCCGTGGTGCTGGTGTCGGCCTGGTGGCTCCTGGCTCCTGGTGGGCTCAGCCACACGTGGTCGTGGCACCCGTTGGGCAGCGGGGTGCTTCCCCTGAGGAAGAGGCTTAACGTTTGTCCCGCTGTGCAGCAGCACCTTAAGTCCTGGCATCCGGGGTGATGCGGAAAGAGGAGCCGATCCTTCCTTGGCCTGGATAAGCGGCGGGTCTGACCTGCCCCAAGAGCACCTGACTGCTGGGTAATCCCATGGGGTTAATCCTGCACCTACCCTTCGCCCGCCAGCTGTGCCGCTCCCCATCCTGGATGGTCTCTGAAACAGGGCGGGGGGACTGGTCCCATCCTTGCCCCCAGCTCCTGGGGAAGCCGTTGGGATGCTTTGGCCCCACCCCGGGCTGCGCCTGGGCTCCTTCGTGCCGAGGTCCTGGTTTATTCCCCCGCTTTAGCGAGCGAGGGTTGTAGTCGAGGAAATTAGAGGCTGCAACGTAACGGTTGTGCAGGTCGGGTCTGGATTAGGATTGTCCAGGCGACCTTTCAGCGAGGTGTTTCCTAATATTCATCTCCCGGAGCGAGGGAAGGAGCCAGGGGATTGTTGCACCTCAAGAAGAGGCCCCAGTGGCGACGCTGTCGGGTTTACGCTGCCGCAGGCTCTGACTTTGTGTCCCCATGGGGTGGTCGGGGGGGGAACCTCTTGCTTGATGCTCTCCCCCTTGCGCAGAGGAAGGCACAAAACCAGGAGGAGGATTTGCACCGAGAAAGGAGAATCCTGCCCCGAGCCTGGCGGGCACAGGGGGGTGTTTTTGGGTCCCGCCACCCTCCCCGAGGGGTGTCAGCGCGCTGTCACCCTGCCCTCAGTCACACCTCTGCCTCTTGGTCTGTTTGTCTTTCCCCGCCTCCCCGCGCCGCCGTCTTCCGGGTGTCCCTTGGGCCACCTCTCGCCGCCACCACCCCGGCAGCCGAGCGGGCAGCAAGAGGCAGCCTCACCTGCCCAGGTAAGCGGGGTCGGCGACGGGGCTGCGTGTGCTCTCATCCTGCACCCCCGCTTCAGCGCAGCCTGCGGGGGCTGAGGCAGAGACCGGCTGCTTTGCCCGCCGGGAACACCTTCATTTTCTCACTCTTCCCGTTGCTTTCTGACCCCTCCGGCCCTGCCCCGACGGGGAAGAGCTGTGGCTGGTTTGGGGAGGAGGAGAGACAGGACAGCGGAGCCGCGCTTTCATCCCTGGGATGGTGTGAGATCGTGGAGGGACGCAGGGAAGGGGAGGCAGCGCTCTGGGGCACATGTTCTGGGGATGGAGCTGGGTTTGGAGGCAGAATCAGGCCCCTGAGGAGCGGGAGAGGCTGAGGGCTGCTCTGGCACACCGTTCCCTCTGGCCACAGCTCGTGGGGCTCCTGCCCGCCCACCGAGCCTGCCAGCACTGTCTTGTTCAGGCAGGGGTGGCTGCCAGCCTGGACTTCTCCAGACCTCTGTTAGCAGGAGAATAAACATTGGGGCTCGAAAAAGCCATGCAGAGCAGCCCCCCGCTTCCAGCACAGCAGTGAGGGGATGAGCTATGCCCCAGAAAGCCCCGTGTATCCGTCCAGCATCCAAAGCCCTGCTGCAGGACTAGCCAGGCTCAGCGAGAGGGCAGGACCGTAAAGTAACTGTCCGTTGTCTGTCTGTCTGTCTGTCTCTTCCCCCATCCTTCACTGCTTCATGTCTCTCCTTCCATCAGCCCCGCTGCAGCCTGGTAAAGACCTGCCGCCCAGCTCCGTCCTGCCTGCGCTGCATGATGCATCTCGCCCTGAGCCCCGCTCCCCCGCTGCCAGCAAACACGAGACCCTGGGGGTCCTGGCGCCGAGCGGGGGCTCTTTTGGGGCTCTCCCTGGAGCCCTTTGGTGCCTGTTCGCGGGGCGGTGTGGGGACAGGCAGCTGGAGGGACGGGCAGCGCTCGCCCGTGCTGGCTGCGTCACCTTCCAGCTCCATGCCTTTGTTTTTCCTGAGCGTGGCTGGAGAACAGCTTTGTCCAGCTGTCCCCGGTCCCACTGAGGCTGGAGGGTGGCTCCATCCAGCCATCCCCCTCCCTGAGCTCTCCTCCTCTGCAGGTTAAGCAGCCTGTCTTCCCTGGGTGATTCGTCTTCAGAGCGGAGGTCTCCCGGGCACCACCGCCAGCCCTCCGACTCCTCCGAAACCACCGGTAAGTTTTCCTGCCTCCTCCTCTGCTTCTCTTGCACCCCAGGACTTGATTTGGTGCCAGGAGCATGGGGCACGTTGCTGCCTGGCTCAGTCCTTGCAGCACCCATGGGGGCACCTTTGGCAGCACCCAAAGTCACCCAGCTGAGGCTGCAGGTGCCGGGGGAGGGCAGGACCCGGCAAAGCAGCCGGGGATCATCCAGCAGCCAGGAGCTCTCCCCACCCTGCCCGTGCGCGCTGGGGCACCCTGCTTTCAGGAGAAAGGGTCCGAGCAGGGACGTCATGTGAGGATGAGGAGGAATGAGCCGTGCCCTTGGGTCGCTGACTCCCGGGGCTCTGCACCAGGCTCTGCCCGCAACCCCTGAAACCCAGAGCGGCGGGGCGAAGGGTCCCCCAAAAGCCAAGCCTGCGCCCCAGGCTCAGAGCCTCACTGATTTTCCCTCCTCTTCCTCCCCAGGTCTGGTCCAGCGCTGTGTCATCATCCAGAAGGACCAGCATGGCTTCGGCTTCACCGTCAGTGGCGACCGCGTCGTCCTGGTGCAGTCGGTGCGACCAGGTGAGAGGGGCCGGTGCTGGCAGCAGGCGGGGGAGGGCAAGGGGGGTCACGACATGCCTCGGGGCTCCCCTCATGCGCCCAAAGCTTCATCCCCTGTGAGAAAACCTGAGAGAAAGAGGATTTTCCTTCCTAAGTGTTGCCCGCTTGGGGTCTCGCTACGGCATCAGACAGGATGGGCAGGACACGATTGCTGGGGGGAGCAGGGGGGAAGGCAGGTGGTTTTGGGGGGAAGTGGTTT